ATTAATGAAGCGATCAGTTCTGTACCGTTTCAGATGTCCCTTATCACCCCCGATGACAGTTATCAGTTTGCATACAAACATAACTGCTCTCTACATTAGATGCCATTTCTTCTCTAGTTCATTTCACATGTAAGTCCCTTAACGAGAAAGTCAAATATGTGCATGTGTTTCTGGACCATTCTTCAGCTTTCGACTCTGTACCTAGTTCCCTTTTACTAAACAAGCTACAATCTTTTGGCAGTCCCTTCTTGAATGGCTTGCTGATTACTTTTCGCAAATATATCAGTATGTTAGATTGGGAAGAAGACAGTCAACGGCATCACTCAATAGCTCGAGTGTACTTCAAGGTGCTGTCCTATCACCCTATCATTTTTCGACTTAAATCAGTGACTTACCTGTTACTCCCCTTGTTCGAAATTTAAGTATGCTGATGATATCGCCATTTCTGTTTCCGTATCTAACCAATCAGAACTGGTTGAATATAACAGAAACCGATCCCACCCCGTTTCATATTCCACTTTTTCCGGTCTAAATCTTAATCCTGAAAAATGCCTTGAATGTATTTTTATTCTAAACCGTACCTCATCTCCCTCCGACAATGTCCAGATTCATGGAAAGCCGATGAGTAGGGTCAGCCACGTGAAGTACTTAGGTGTCACAATTGGAAGTAACCTTCGCTCATCCTTACATACCCAAAGTGTTGCTATTAAGTTGAAAAGTCTCTCTTTTTAGATAAGAAGACAATGGGTACTCCCTATACCTCTGTACTGCTCTCCTGTAATTTTTCCCAGTTTGTTGAAGGATGATTTCAAGTTGCTGAGGTGTGGTCTCTCAATGATTAGCCGTGTCTCCCAAGTTCCGTTACCTGTTCCGAGTTGCAGTATGTGTAATGCCCATATTGATGCGTGCTTGAAGTTTGCTGACAATATCCTATCTAATTGCACCCATCCTCTACACATTGACTCGTGTGTATGCAAATCCCACTCCTCCAACCGTTCCAACTACAAACTTATCCCGTCTCCCATATCCGCATACAGAAACTCTTTGGTACCCTATATTGTTCGGATACTCACCGACAAGGAAAGTGTTCGTTCTGAGCTTTCTAATGCATTTAGTAATTAACTCATATTTTTGTACGTTTCACATTCCACTTCTCCCTGTTTTAGCACTGGTAGCTTATCATGAATGCTCTGCATTCTGCTGGCGTAGTTAGTTCTAGTCTGACACGCTGTGCCGCGGCACCCTGGATTTCTGCGGAGCCTCTACGTCTTCTTGATGCACGTCGGTCACTTCCGACCGACCGGCAGAGAGCATAATGAAATACGACTCGTAACGAGTCGCAACCTCAACGTAAGCTTACGCACAGCCCGCGAGATCTGGTGGACTCAACATGCGTCAGAGATAGTGTGCTGCCGCCATGGGAAACTTCCGCAAGCTGTTCCATCTCATTCGAGTAGGAAAGCATTGCGAAACGATCTGTGAAGCTGACAGCTCGCCCATTCACAATCAACAGCGACGTTTTGAACGCTGGGTGAAGCACTTCAAGACACAATTTAGTGTGGTGATCAGCTAGAAGTAGTTGAGAGCTTTAAGTACCTGGGGAGCTCGATCACAGCTGGTGGTGGTGTTGGGGACGAGATCACATCACGAATAGCGAAAGCTAGAGCAGCTTTCATCAACCTGCGACACCTGTGGCGCCGCCATGACATCCAGCTATGCCTCAATGGAAGGGTGTACATCGCCGTAGTTCGTAGCCTTTTGCTTTACGGTTGCGAGACCTGGCCTCTCCGCGTTAAGGATGCTAATCGACTTTCTGTATTCGACCACCGATGTCTCCGAAGCATTACTCGTGTCAGGTGGGAACATCGGGTGAGCAATGACGAGGTCCGTCGTCGTGAACTGGGTGTGGATAGTCGCTCCCTAACAGAAGTAATCGTCCACACCGCCTCCAACGGTTTTATCACGTATTGCGTATGCCTGCCCATCGACTACCTTTCCGTGTTCTCGTCGTACGTACAGGGCAAAGGTTGGAAGAAGCGCCGTGGCGGTCAGATCATGACATGGGTTAGAGGCATGAAGAAGCTGGCTTCAGCTTTGGCTTCGGTTGGTGCAGCTCGTCCACCCGGTGGGGACCAAAGGGATAATAACTTTCGCTAGTTAGAGACGCTGAGAGATATGGCCCATATGAGAAGTTAGTGGCGCGAATGCTGTACGATTTGCCTGTCGAAATCCCGCGATCCATAAGAAAAAAGACAAAATAACACAAAAAAATTTGGAAAAGTGTACGGTGAAACACAAAAAGAATTGTCATCCCATTTTATTGTTATTTGCCATTTTAAAAGTTCCGTCTTTTTTCCCAAGTTCTGTATCCCAACCGCTACCCGTTATTGTTACCTTTATCTTTTTTTGCGTCGGCACAATGCTTGTCTGTAAGCCAGTGGTAATATATATATATAGATATGCTCACAGTGCGCTGTCGCTTTTCTTTACGTCCTTCATAATCTTTTGCGTTTTTCCCACTTCCACTGTGTTCTGATGAAAATTGCTGATTATTCAACCTTCGGGTCCATAAAGCTTAGTTCGACTTGACTTGGCTTGTCCGATCAGAGTGGCAGATCAGTAAAGATATTTTGAGCCGCATTATGGGTTCGCAATATCCAAAAATTAGTGGGATCACTTGTAGTTTCAAATGGCCATTTAGTTTACAGTGGAGGTATGTAATTTTCAATAATTTTTTGTCTGCAACATTTAAAAGCAAATATATTGTCTTTGGCTTTTCAGAGTTGGACTATTTAGGAGTGTCGAAGATACTGATACACCGGTAGATACCCTGAGGTGGCGCTTTGATAAAGTGATAACTTTGAAAGTGGTGGTCGATTAACTCGAATTGCTATTATTGATCTAAATGCGAGCGTCAAACGCCTCCATCGTTATTGAAATACTGAGGTCGACAGCTTGGCGTTCCTGGGGCATAACACCATGCCACACGGCTTTAAGGTTTCAGTCTTTCACGGAGTCTCCTCGTTTCACACCCAAGATATTCACGAGCTACTACCCAGAAACGGACGAATTCGATCACCTATACCGAATGATAGTAGATGAGAACAGTGCACTTGGATTAGAAGCAAACAAAAACTCACCAGATGAGGAATTGACACGGCGCATCGATCGAGCAATATCCGACTGCTTGTTGGACAGTGCACCATTTGGGAGAAGAATTTTCGTACTGAGATTTCACCGAGTTGCCATAAATTTAGCAACCTTCCGACTAGGTGAACACCAGAGGTGGTTGATTCACCACCCAGAGATGGGTGAAAAAAACGTTGGCATATCGTGGCAGGCTGCAGGAAGTCGACGTAGACCGTTTGTTGAATGAAAGCATAGAGCAGACAATCAAATGAGAGCACAAATCGATACGAAATATTACAACTGACTTTAAACAAAAAAACAATTTAAAATTTTCCCAACTTGAATCGATGAGGTGCGGAAAAGCAAACTATCATCTTCTCTCGAATAGAGCGATAAAGGAAACAATGTCAAAAAATGCTCGTTATGTCAGTGATGCATTGATCACTGGTGGTCATGAAGCGAGGTGATCCACGTGTGCAAAAAATGAAAACAGTGAATCATATTGAGGTACTTGAGAATGACCTACATCCGCCTGACAATCTTGTAAAATCCAGAATTCGTCATGGTATTAGTAAGTGAGCAGTGAGTCAAGATCCGGGACTATAACCGGGTTGGTGGACCACTGGTATTTCACCTGGGGGAGTCGGCTAAAACCTTGATTCCAAACTAACCAAGAGGAGGCGCACGAACCACACACACCTTCCTGGCTGTGACAGTGGTCACAGGTTCGATTGAGCATCGAGGTGTATTGGGCGACTTGGATGTGTGACTCCGTCTAAAGGGTATATGATCCAATGAACTGGCCCCCGATGCCTTGCGGATCAGCCTTTGGCTCCGGTTGTGGATTCCTCAAGAAAATTCACCAGCTTTAGCCTGGGTAACCTGGCAGTATTCAGTCCACATGCAAACCATGGAACATTTTTTTAATAAAGATTATTGTACCATGATTTGTTTGGCACGCAGTCTAGCGTTAGATGTGCGTGGAACGTAACAATTTTTAAATGAGTAGTATAGCTTGATACTCAGTTGTTCGCCGAGCTGGGCAATTCGACTTCAAACGTGTCTATCCCTAAATAGAGATGACCATTTCAATGCAGCAAACGCAACCGTATCAACACCTTATATTTCTCAGATAATACGGAAGTACTAAAATTCTGGATAGCACTCAAGTTGTTCTCACCTAGCTAGAACACGATAAAAAACAGATGAATGTTGAATGCGAATTTAAAGCACTATGCAAATCAAACTGGAAATCCTCACACCTGTTTGTTCTACTCCGGATGATTTGCGAATAATGGTGTGGGACAAAGAGGTGCGACAGGTTGCTATTGGCCATTGGTCAGAAAGCCTCTTCATAGAACACAGCCCATAGCCCATCCAGTTACCCATACTTTGGAGGAACACTACACACGAATGACGTGCTCATAAATGTGCATCAGTACTGCAGACTGGCCACCTCTGAACACGAAATTTGGACAAGCATAAACCGGTAAATCTGATGAGCTCTGATATGAGCTGGTCGGCATAATGACAAAACCTTCTACGTTGTGAGTCTTGGGTTCAAATCCTGAAACGGCTAATCAAAGTGGAACCCGAGTCTGATGTTCCCATAGTTAATGTATAGTTGACCAAGTGTATTGACGACTGTGTAGATATAAAGCCTGGCCAGTTAACGTGAAAGGAATATCTCAAAGATTAAACATAACAGCAGAGTTGGGTATGATCATACCAGAAAGATATTGGGTGGCAATTTTAGATATTGTAAGGACAGTTCATGTAACAGCAACACTGAGTTGAAAACGTGTGTCAGAAGCACAATTATTGCCAAAGTACCAGAATTCAATGCAACTGTGGTGCTTACTAGCACGTACCTTCTCTCCACGATTCAACGCGCTACAGAGATGCATCACAAGGACCGCTTCAGTCACAGTTTCCTTACCGATCACGGAGCAACCGATATCCGATCGGGGAGAGACAGCCAGGCTCAGGTCGTCCATAGCCAGCATGACATTCGAACTGGGGATAGAAACACTGGCTTCACGGATCAGATTCAACAGACGAGACCAGAGAATTCCGAGAAGTGGTTCCAGATGATCAACGGATGAGACCATGGCGTCGATGGACTACAATCAGAGCCAAGAAAGTTGCCGAAGGCTAACCGTTGCCACAGAGAAGGGGACATACAGTCAACGCCAATGGAAGTTAGCAAATTGCGGCTTACGAGAATCAGAATATGGCTGCATCTCGTTGTGCTTTGGCAATTTTGAGCATGATTCTGTGATAAGACACGTGATTTACTCTGACGGAGTATGGTCGTCCTATTAGTGAAGAAGACTATTACTGTGATTCCCTGGCCCACGCTGGAAATGGTCGATCTCGACAGTGATCCAATATTAAATTCCATTAAACTTATCCCTATTCTGATCTATTCAGCGATCGGTTTCAATTCACAAGCGCATGTAATAGCACACTGCAAGGAAATAACTCATACAAACACCATTCGATATACTCAACGCAATTGTGCGAACCGGGTCATATTTCCCGATGCGGCGGTCGGGGATTTGGTGCAATTTGGAGATCAAACGACGTCGTACAAAGAGCCTTACAGATTAAATTGGTTTCTGTGGTGCACATGGTGAACAGAAAACTGAGAAACACTACACCTGCGAGATTCCGGTTTCATCTTCAGCTGGTTTGATGGATTCTTATTGAAGAAGAGCCCGCAAAAGGTGGAAACAACTACACAATGCTTCATTCACCATCTTTTCATGTCACAATTACTACAATCTTGGAAAACCTAATTCCTAATTAACACAATCAGGAAATGCTTAGTTCTCTCTCTCTATCAGAGTTCCAGATTGAAGCATGGAGCTGCGTTTCAATATATGGTGGCTAGCATGGTATCAACGGAGCGCACAGAGTGGCGACGATCAATCGGTATTGTTCATCACTGAGTTATGAATGAAGTCGTCTATTCAAAACGTACTACCGCAGCATCCACATCTGTTTTTCTTTCCATCAAATGGCAGTCAATTTATCAGCTGCTTTCCTTTAGAGAAATGTAGACGGTAGGATAATTGCATTCAAAGAAAAGGAGTTAGAAAAAAGTAGAAAAGAGACGAAGAGTGCCGTAGCATTCATACAAATGTAATACGTGGAGTGCGTCGCCAACAATGATTTCGTTGAATTGGATCCTTGGCGAATAGGGAGTAAGCTAAAATGTGGAGGCCTTCGCTTAGAGCTTCTTTGGACCATAAGGCGATGCCTCACAAAAAACAGATGACAAGGCATACTTTCTCACAGGGTGGGGATGAAAAAAATCAAACAGAAAAAAGGAGGAGCATTGGTTCTTCTTCTCATACAGAGTTCCTATAAAAGGAAACGGTCTAAAGTCATCTAAGGAGGACATAAGCTAAAACGAGATGGAAACTGATGCACTTACTCGGAGCAACTCTACTTCTTGAGAGTCTCGCGACAAGGAAGAATTGATTAGTGGGG